TTCCCAGTGACAGCTTACTACAAGGCCACACCTCCTAGTCCTTTTAATCCTTTCAACTAGTGCCACTCCTGAGTGACTAAGCATTCAAATAGATGAGCCTATGGGGGCCATTCTCATTCAAACCGCCATGAGCCACTCCTCATAGGCTGATAGTCATATTACAATTCAAACTGTATAGTCCAACTTCAAAAGTCCCCATAGTCTATCACAGTCTTAACACTGTTTAAAAGTCCAATCTCTGCTGAGACTCAGGGCAATCTCTTACATGTAATCCACTGTAAAATCAAAACCAAAAAGCAGTTCACATACTTCCAACATGCAATGACACAGAATATATACTATCGTTCCACAAGGAGGAAAGGGGGCATAGGAAGGAAATACTGTGCCAAAGTAAGGTTGGAAACTATTCTTATTCAAACCGCCACAGCATACCACTGGAGAAATGAGTTCCCGTAGGACAAGAGGAAGATAAGCCCATCTTTGTGCTGAGGAATAGGGTCTTGAGTCCAGGAGACCTCACCTCTGTTACCCCTTGACCAACAGCCTCTTTTCCCAACCTGTAGGAAAATGACTTTTCAAGAAGCCTCAGCGAGAGCGCAGAAGACCTCAGCTTGGATATGGGAGCCCTTCAGGGCAGCGAGTACCTCCGGGATCTAGGCTTAGGGGCTCCTTCTGACCACCATCAGTCAGAAGTGGCTATAGAGCCTGAGAGCCCCAGAAAAGAAGCCAGAAGGGAGACCCTCTGCTCAAGCTATGCGGGAGATCCAATCCTGCCTCAGAGACGCAGCTGGGAGAGGCCACGGAGCTGCTCGGAGAGCTGTCGAAGGTCAGCCCCCCCACCATTGCCTACCGTCTGGGAGGCCACAGCGGTTCTCGGGACATACTGCTGTTCTGCCTGTTACCCAGTTGTGTGATTTTTGCTGAGGAGATATAAACCAAACATCTCTTTACCCCAGATAGGGCACCCAGTGACAGACCAAAGAAATGACCCCATCCAAGTCCAGATCAGAGATCTGACTTCATTGGAGCTGCTTACAGGAGTTTGGGCAAGGGATTACTTATGTGAGTGTAGATAGTTACTTACGTGAGTGCCAACTCTGACTCACAAAGGCTGCGTGGCTGGGATACCCGGCACAACCTCCAGGCGGCTCCACCAAAGAGTCTCCTCTCCCCCAGCAACTGTGTATAAACTTCTCACACATCAGATTGGTGAGCTTTCTTGTGAGCGTCTGAGGGTTCCCCTTCCCTCCAAAGGGGAAGTTGTAATTGGGAAGAAGTACATGTGATCCTGTATGTGCAGGTTCCTGCACTTACAAACACATGTGAGCGCGCATGTGTGGATCCCTGCACATACAAGCACACATGCGCATACGTGTAGACACTTGCCTCACACCATGTTAAACCCATGCCTGCCGGCCTGTAAGTGGTGGAATGTCTACACAAAATTTGTCCCCAACCTGCATGCTACAGATTCACACGTGATCTAAACACAGATGAGGGCTCCCTCCACCACAGCAGCTGCATCCAAAGTAGAGGGGCTGTGGTCACCACCATCTGCCCCACACTGTGTGCCTCAACTCCTCCAAGAGGGCTCAGCTGGAGCTCAGCCTAGCACCCAGGAGGCCCTGGGCTCCACCCTCAATATTGAAAGGGGGTGAAAGGAAGGAAACTGGAGAGGGGGAAGAAGTGAGAGGGAGGAAGAAAGGAAACAGTCATAGAAAAAGAGTGGGGAAATTTCCCTGAAGATGCAGACTCCTCTGGTATTGAAAGGTTTGGAGCCTGCTGTGTGCCCCACCTCTCTCCCTGAAAGGGAAACATCTTTGTGAGTTCTGTGAGTTCCCTCCTGCCTCTGCATGTCTAAGGTCATGGCCAGATGGATACCACCCACTAAAACTTCAATGTCTGCTCTTCCCTCAGGCTCAGCCTTGATGCCTCCACGGTGGATGAAGGAGCCTGTCTCCCCCGGACTCTGGCAAGCCTTACTCTGAATCTGTCTGGAGAGGGGCAGAATACTTGGACCCAAGAATGCTCACCTGACAGTGAGACTCCAGCAGAACCCTCAAGCAAGGTAGGCAGAACCTACACCAAACCCAGCAGTAGGCACCCCTCTGGGCTGCGATGCCAGTGCCATGGATGGGAGGGAGCATCTTCCCCATAGCTATCAGGGTCACTCTTAAGGAAAGAGGGAGCTCCCTAATTTAGCCCACGGCTAAGACATTTCTGGGCCCTGAGATATTATTTGCAATAGTGTGGTGTGTGTGTGTGTGTGTGTGTGTGTGTGTGTGTGTGTAAAACACAATACCTCAGGCTAGGTGTATTATAGAAAAGAGAAGCTTGTTTTAGTTTGTGAGTCCAGAAGTTTAAGGTCAAGGGTTGTGTTTGGTGATGACTTTCTCATCCAGTGGTCCTTAGAGGTTCAGTACATCACAAGGCAACGGATGGGAAGTGTCCATGTATATTACTTCAGGGTCTTTCATCTTGTCTGTGCATGGGTATGTGCCTGCATGTGTGTGTGTATACGTGTGTGTGAGAGAGAGAGAGAGCACACGAGCACACACACATGTTCATGTTGGAGAATGTAGGATGGGGAGAGGGTGTGGAAACCAGAGGAAAACCTCAGATATCATTCCTCAGTGCTGTCTATCTTCTTCTGAGACAGGCTTTCTCATGGGCTTCTGCTAAGAAAGCTGGGCATGAGCATGAAGGAGTGTGCCCTTAATCCCAGCACTTGGGGCAAAGGTAGACAGATCTCTGTGAGTTCATGGACAGCCTGGTCTACATAGTGAGTTCCTGGATAGCTAGGACTATGTAGAGAGGAAGGAAAGGAGGGAGGGAGGGGAGGAGAGGAAAGAAGGGAGGGAAGGAGGGAGGGAGGAAGGGAAGGAGGGAGGGAGGGTCACTGGGTGGGTGGGTGGGTGGGTGGAATGAAAGACCTTGCTATGTAGGGTAGGCTGACTGGCCAACAAGCCCCATGAGTTCACCTGTCCCTACCATCCCTAGTACTGAGGTTATAAACATGAGCCACATGCCCAGAGTTCTCACTTGTATCCTCATGGTGCTTTATGGACTGAGCCATCTCCACAGCCCTCTGTCTCTTCTGACAAATCTCCCTGGGGCTGGAGAGATGACTCCGTCAGTAAAGACCCTGCTGCTTAAACACAAAGACTTGAGTTTGGATCCCTGGCTCCCATGTAAAGGCTTGGGGCATGGTGGTGCAGGCTTGTAATTCTAACAAGGCGGGGGTGACGAGTGATCCCTGAAGCTCACCAGCCAGCTGGCCTAGGCCAGCCGATGAGCTCCAGGCTCAGTGACAAACCATGAGAGATGCTGCCTCAAAGTAGATAGATAGACAGACAGACAGACAGACAGACAGACAGAGTGGAGGATTAGTGAGAAGGATCAGTGAGTAAAGGCACTTGCCACCAAACCTGATGACTTAAACTCAGTCTCCAGGTGTTCTTTAACCTCCACCTCTACACACCTCTACACGCATGCGAATACAAATACAACCTCTACAGACACAAAAACACAAATAGATCAATTAAAAAATTAAATATCAGGTGGAAAGTGAGGAAAACACTCAGTGTTGACCTCTGACCTCCATGCACATGTGCATATAGTCACACAAACACATGCATGTACTGCACACGCATGTACACTTCTTCTTGTTTTGTTTTTTTGTTTTTCAAGATATGGTTTCTCCGTGTGGCCCTGGCCATCCTGGAACTCTCTCTGTAGACCAGGCTGGCCTCAGACTCAGAGGGCCACCTGCATCTGCCTCCTGAGTGCTGGGATCAAAGACATGCACCACCACCGTCCAGTTTACACACACAGTTTTTAAAGGCGGTGTGGGCATGGAGGTGCACACCTTTAATCCCAGCACTCGGGAAGCAGAGGTAGGCAGATCTCTGAATTTGAGACCAGCCTGATCTACACAGTGAGCTTCAGGTAGCCAAGGCTGCACAGTGAGACCCTGTCACCAAGAAAAGATGGCACTCAGGGTTGCTCTAGCCTGAACAACATTAATGCAACCCTAGTCTCCCCCCTGCCACACCAAGGGCCCGTATCTAAATTTGGAAGGTCAAATTCCCACCCTTTTAATACCCCACAATGGGGATTCAACTCTAACCTGAGTTTCAGATTGAACAAACCATAGTCACATCTGGCACTACCCTAGGGTCAAAGAATCTTCTCTACAATGGACATGTTCCCATCAAAGGAGAATCATAGGACTGGAAAGATAGCACCATCCGAGAAGTGTCTGCTTTACAAGCACAAGGCTCTGAGTGGGATCCCCAGAGTCCAGTATAAAAAGCCAGGTGTGGGGGGGTGGCATGCTTGTAATCCCAGCCCTGTGGAGGCGGAGACACAGAGGATCCCTGGGACTCACCAGCTGACCAGCGTAGCCTATTTTACCAGATCAGTGAAGAATATTTGCTAAAACAAAACTGGTAGATTGTGCTTTGAGGAATGATTCCCACAGTTGTCCTCTGGCTTCTACAGGCAAGCATGCGCGCGCACACACACCACCCACACACAGAAAGAGTGACAGAGGCGGAGGGAAGGATCGTAGCCATAAATGTTAGCAACAGGCTAGAAGAAAGAGAGTCTGTCCCCTTATCCTGAAGCCCCAGCCAGGCATAAAGAATCCATATCGAGGGTGCCAGCCTGCAATGAGAGGAAACCATGATTGGGGTCTGCACCCAGGGAGAATGAGTCTCAGAACCGAGATGGCAGCTGACACCTAGGGAATGCATCACCTACATCTGGGAAATCTTTGTCCCTAAACATGACCCATGGTTAGGGGTATTTCCCATTCATATGGATTTGAATATGAAATCATATATAACTCAAATATAACTAGGGGTTCTGGAAAAGGCTTACCGCCTGATTGAGTAGAGGGAGGCCCTGGTGTGACTGGAAGCTGGAGCTGGGGGAGGAGGTGTGGCACTTGGGGTGCCCTTGACCTAGGACAGGGCAATTAATCCTGTTCCCCTGATAGGAATGTATCAGCCCTGAGAAAAGGCTAAGATCCAAGTCAGTGCCTGTATCCCATGAGGAGATCAGCTGTCTGGAACTGACGTCTGGCTCAGAGGCGTCCACTGCACCTGTGCAAGGTAGCCAGGCCTGGGAATGTCTTTGGGGCACATCAAGTGGCTGAGGCAGGAAGTGCTCCATGGGTGGAGCCCCAGGCGGGCCTCAGGGAGGGCAGGAAGATAGAGGGAGCATGGAGTTACTAGGGTAGGAACTTGGCAGTCCTATGGGTCCAGAAAGAACGTATTGCCTCCAATGTCTGTCATCTGCCTTTCTCTGGGGTGCCTCTAGCTTTTTCTTCTTCCTCCTCTCTTCTCTGTGTTTCCCTCTCCCTCCGTCCCTCCCCCCCTTTCTCCGTCCCTCCCCCTCTCTCTTTCTCCCTCCCTCTCCTTTACTCCTTTTTGATTTTTGTGAGTATTAATAATGTGTGGGTGATGTGTTGAGAAGGATGTGCACATGCCATAGCACACATGTGGAGGTCAGAGGACAGAAGTTGGTTCTTTCCTCCCACTGTGTGGGTCCAGGGGAGCCTGCATCTCTACCTACTGAGCCATCTTCTATCCCACCTCCTCCCTCCCTTTGCCCTCCCTCCCCCACTCTCTTCTTTCATCCCTCTTTTGCACTGTTCCTCTCTGTCTCTCTCTCTCTCTTCTCTGCATCCCCGCTTTACCTCTCTCTCCCGCTCTGCTTGGCTCTCTCTTATTTCCCTCTTGGTCTCTGAATCTCTAACCAAAGACTACACCTCTCTGTTGTCACTCAAACTGCCCTACAGTTCCAACCTGCTATTCTGGGTGGCTCTGAGCCTCCCTGGCTTTCTTCTGAAAGAAGGAACAGGGAGTGTAGCTCCTGAGCATGCCTGGGAGAGTCTGTTAACTTTGCGCAGGTACATGAAGATAATGGTGCAGTCCGTGGTCCATGGCTTCTTTCCGCCTCTCCTCCCTGAGACATTGCTCGTGTTTTATGTACAGCCTCATATGCTTCTGGGCCTGGAGGTGGGTGGGTGCAGAGCAGGACCCTTGCTCATTCCTATGACCCCTGTACTGGGGACTGATTCTAGGCCTTGAACCACCTGTGCTGGAGTGCCTGGAAAAGGACCATGTGGAGCCAGACCACGTGTGAGTGTCTGTCCTGTGACAGACAGGAGTACCCCAGTGGACAGGCTGAGGGGAGGCGGGTAGAGGCTGGGTCCAGAGGATGTAGCTGCTGCTTGTAAGCAACCATGGCTGGGACTGTGGCTCATTTGATAGAGTGCTCACCTAGCATGCACTGGATCTCATCCCTAGTACTATACAAACCAGGCATGTGGTAGTGTCTACCTGCCATCCCAGCACTCAGTGCGTGGAGGCAGGAGAACTGAAGGAGTTCAAGGCTAGCCTCCACTAATTGTAAGTTGGAGGTCAGCCTGAAACACATGAGACCATGTTTCAAAAAAAATTCTTTTATCATAAGTGACCATACTAGCCTAATCTGGCTTAGTCTCACGTAGTGGGACTTCTCTCCCAAACAGCCTTTGCTGGGAGGACGGCATCATGGTCTTCAGGGCACCCAGTTAGAGTGTGCATGGGGGCCCGGGATCTGGTCAGAGTGCCTACGTTTGTAACCCACCCCTTCCCTAGGCTGATAGTGCAACAAGTGCTTCAGGAACTGCGACACTACCATGGGTGAGTGGCAAAGGAGCAGGTGTGACGGCTGGGTGTGGGAGAAGACAAACATGAGACAGTTAGGGAGAAATGGGGGGCATATACATGAGGGAAACAGATGTGGGGAGACAAGCATGGCCATAGGGAAGAGTAGAGAGTTACAGGGATCTGGTAGAAAGAAGAAAGGAACTGGTGGGTGTGGTGATCCAGGCCTCTCATCCCAGCATTTGGGAAGCAAATGAAGCAGAAAGACTTGAGTTTAAGGTTAACTTAGGCTATGTAGTGAGACTCTGCCAAAGAAGAGGGGGGAGGAAGGAGGGAAGGAGGAGGAGGTTAAGAATGAGGGGGGAGGGGCAAGGGGAGAAGAAAGAAAAAGAAAAAGAGGAGGAAAGGGAGGATGCTGAAGAGGAGGATAGAGAGAGATGAAGGAAGGAAACGTAACAGAGAACGAAACAAACGAGAAAAGGTGTCTGTTCCCTATGATGTGTTAGAAAACGTTCCTGACATGCTCGTGTGGTTTGTCCAAGACACAATACCACTGCCCTCTGCTGGACAGCCTGCTATCATGTCCCTGTTTGCAGGGCCCCTGAGGATGCGCCTGGGGGATGCAGAAATGAATGATAAGGATTAAGTTGCCGGGGGACTAAACGACTGTCCCACTCTGCCCCTACAGGGTCCGTCAGCAAGCTCACATGTCTACCAGCCCTGGAGGAACCCACTCCAACCTCACCTGGTTTGAGTTCTTGTCTGAGTAAGCACAAGCTTCCATCAGTGGCTATAGTGGGGTCTTAACGCCAATTTCCCTAAGAGCAGACTTCACCTAGAGAGCAAAGGTTGAGATAGGATAATCACAGGTTCAAGGACTGCTGGGCTGCGGCGTGAGGGGAAGGGTAGGGAAGCGGGAGAGAAAAAGGGAAAAAATGAAAGGGACGGTGGGGAATTGGGAACCTCAGACAGGTCACATCAGGGGGAGACAGATTCCAGGAGCACCTCCCAGAGTCGCCTCAGAAAGCCCTGGAGCCCTTCCTCACCTTCTTCCCACCCTCTAGGAGTGAGGATGGTGCAAGCAAGAATGAGAAGACAGACAAGAGCACCAGAGTGAAGCGCAGCCTGAGCTCCCTCCGAAGCAGGGTCACCAGGCAGAAGGAGAAGGTGAGGGGGCTGAACTGGAGCTATGGGGACTCACTCACCCCTCCCTAGCACCAAAAAGTACCCTTGACTCAGGAACCCTGGGATGAAAGCCAGGACTGGATGGAGGGAAGTGGAGGGCATCAAAGGACCAGATGTTAAGTGTTTACAGCCCTGAGGGGAAAGGAGCCAAGGAATAAATACCACAATATCACACCCCCACAACAAACCCCACACAAGATGTTTTGGGAGGGAAAAACCCAGGAGGGTGGCTACCTCTGCTCAGGTGAGAAGCAGCAGAAAACTAAGGGGAAGACAAGGCTCATATAGGATTTCTTGAGGGAGGGAGAAGATTTTCAGGGTGCAGATTGGTGGGAGTTCAAATCCAGAGCTTGGGCTTTTTCCGCTCCGTAGGGTAGGGGCTGGGTCCAGCCATTAGAGTAGTTGGAGTGTTCAGCGGGTGAAAGCCGGTGGTTGGAGGTCCCCAGGAGAGGGGTTCGGCCACTCATTTGCTTCGAGAGGCTTACATCAGGCCATGCAGAAGACATACTGAGAACCATCATTGTCTCATGCAGGGGAAGAGCCCTGCACACCTAAAGGATAAGATTCAGGATGCTCCAGGGAGGCGGGAGTGTGTCAATGGGCACCAGCTGGTGCGAGGAACCTTCGTGGGTCACTCTAACTGTCCTCTGTGTGGCAAACCTTTGCTGAGCTCAGGTGAGTCCAGGCCCATCCATCCACCCAATGGGGGCATCTGTCCTCTTCCTTCCTTTTGTCCCTCCGTTCTTTGGTACATTCCTGGTTCTATTTCATTCTCACCTGTGTGAGCAAGTATTAGCAGCAACCTGGAGAGAAGCAGAGGACCAGTCAGTCACTGACGATGGTGACTAAGCTCCCTGATTCAGCTTTGGCCTTGGGAAAATCCAGCAGGACCTAGACTCAGGCGGGGCATTTATCTGATGTGGTGACCAAATGTCTGGTGTTTACCTGCTGAATTCTCGGAGATGTATTTTGTCATAGTTCTGGGACCTGGATGGCCAAGGTCAAGGTTTCTGGAGGGTTTCAGGTCTCTCCCAGCTTTTGGTGGCTCTACAGCCTGTGGCAGCGTCGTCCTGCAAGGTTCTTCTTGTGTGGACTTTGGGTTCCCAAACTCTCTTTTCTCTTTCTGTTGTACGTGTGTCTGTTCATGTGTGTGCACCAAAGGACAACCTTGGCAGTCCTTCCTCGTGTGGCATCCATCTTGTTTTATGTGGGATGTGTGTACAGGTACATTCATGGACATATATGCACATGGTGCACGTGCGTGCGGAGGCCAGAAAATCATTCTGGGTATTTCCCCCTATTACTCTCCACTTCATTTTTTGAGACAAGGTCTTCACAGAACCTGGAGCTTGCTGAATCAGCTGCTGCCCGCAAGCCCCAAGGATCTTCCTATCTCTGCCTACTAGAATTATAAGCATTGTGCCCCTCATGCTTGGCTGGCTTGCTTATTTGTTATTTATTTATTTATTTATTTATTTATTATTTTACACGGGTTCTGGAGGATTGAAGTTAGATCCTTGTGCTTGTAAGGAAAGTATCTTACCGATTGTGCCATCACACCAGCCTCCAACCTCCCTTCTTTTAAAGACCCATCATCACATTGGAGTAGGAACTCAGCCTAGTCCATTATAAAGCTCCTTGTGTGTTATGACTACATGTGCAAGGGCTTGATCTTTAGTTTAGTCTCACTTTATTTATTTTTATTTTCTGTGTGAATATGTGTGTAGGTACAGAGGTCAGCTCTCTTCTCTCGCCGTGTGGGTTCTGGGTTTAGAATGCAGGTCATCGGGCTTGGTGTCAAGCCTCCTTACTGAGCCGTGGTCTTATTCTGCAATAAAGGGAGGGATGGGGCTATAAAATACGAATTGAAAGGAGACAATTCATGCCACGCGGTGGTAGCGCACACCTTTAATCCCAGCACTCGGGAGGCAGAGGCAGGCGGATCTCTGTGAGTTCGAGACCAGCCTGGTCTACAAGAGCTAGTTCCAGGACAGGAACCAAAACCACAGAGAAACCCTGTCTTGAAAAAGCAAATAATAATAATAATAAAAAAATAAAATACATCTTTAACAAGAGCTAGTTCCAGGACAGGCTTCAAAGCCATAGAGAAACCCTGTCTTGAAAAATCGAGAGAGAGAGAGAGAGAGAGAGAGAGAGAGAGAGAGAGAGAGGAGAGAGAGAGAGAGACAGACAGACAGAATTCAACTCATAGCATGGAGTTTCCTCCTCCAAGGGACTGCACAAAACTGCTGGGTTGGGCTGGGCTGGGCTGTACATGTACAAAGCCCTGGACTCCACCTTCAGCATGAGAGGTACAGGCCTGTGATCCCTTAACTTAGGAGGTGAAGGCATGAGGATCAGAAGCTCAACACTGAAGTAGGCTAGATAGTGAATTCAAAGCCAACCTGAACACATGAGATTATATCGCGTGTGTGTGTGTGTGTGTGTGTGTGTGTGTGTGTGTGTGTGGTGTACTCGTGCATGTGTGTATGCAGTTTGTAGCAAGAATTCAAACTACAGAGTATTTACAATCAAGACTCAGGCAAGTCCAAGGTTCAAACGCAGGACATCAGCATTATTGACCTTTGGGACCAAGTAATTTTCTTCGAACAATGATTCCTGACCCACTAGGTACTAATAGCACCTGCCCAGTCTAATGTTAGGACAAAGTGTCTCCAAACATTGTCAAATGTCTCGAGTTGGTGCTGGGGAGAGCAGCCCCAGGTGAGAATGAGTTATTTGAGACTACTAGGAATCCCTAGTGTGTACACAGACTTGGGAGTAAGAACAGGCCTGGTGCTTCCTAGGCACCTGAGTGGTAGGCTTTTAGTCATCATCCTGCCCTCCCTCAGCTTTCAAAGTGTCCTTTCGCTAGGTGAAGAACTATGGGTGTTCTGCCTGTGGCTATTCCTATCTACTGTAATGATGACTGAACCCAGGACACATTAGCCAGTATTCTACCACTGAACTACGCCCCAGCTCCTCACTGGGGGATTCTAGGCAGGTACCCTACCACTGAGACACACCTCCAGCCTGGTTTTTAAAACAGAATCTCATTTAGTTATCCAGGTTGCCCTTGAACTCACTCAGTAGCCCAAGAAGACCTTGAACTTGCTGTTTTCCTATTTTTGAGTAGGTGTGCTGTTGTGGTTTCTTTTTCTTTTTTTTCCTCTCCTCTCTCCCTCTTCTCTCCCATCCCATGGCCTCCCCCATCTCTTTTTTGTCTCTTTCTTTCTTTCTTTCCTTCTTTCTTTCTTTCTTTCTTTCTGAAAGGGTCTCATGTAACCCTGGCTACCCTCAGGTTTCAAACTTGCCGTGTAGGTAAAGATGGCCCAAATTTAGGGACAGCCTTGCTGTGCTGAGCACTTCCATTGTCCCAAACACTTAGCTCTTTGAAGAGCATCCTCATCTACCTCTACATCTCTTTCATAGATGAGGAAACTGAGGTTGAAGGAAAATCCCACATTTGTTTGGTTGGCTGGGAGTGGGCACCCATGCTTGGTTCCCAGCACCCACATAGTGGTTCATAACCACTCGTAACTCTAGATCCAAAGGATCAAACACCTTCTTCTGTCCCCCTCAGGCATCAGGAATACACATGGTGCACGTGTATACATTGAGGAAAACACACCCAAGAAATAAAAACACATATTAAAACAGTTCTTGCCTAACTCAGAACTAATGCCATTGTTTCACCCCATTGTTTAATTTTTCTACTTTACTTTTTACTTACTCTTATTATTATTTTTTAACTTTGTATATTTGAGACAGGATGTTCTGTAGCCAAGTCTGTCCTGGAATTCTCTATGTAGCCTTGAACTCCTGATCTTCCTGCCCCCACCTCCTGCATGC